GGCCCCTTGTCCAGCTGCTTCAAACCGGTGTTTTCATGGCTCCTGGCCGGTGCCTGTTGGCCGAGCGCCGTCCCCTGCCTGTTTGAGCATCTGGGGGACCTGCGGGTGTGCTGGCGCGGGGTGGCCGAGCTTGCTGACGGCTGTGCGTGCTGGATGGGCCCCAGGCATGCTGGAGCAGGACCCTGCCGCAGGAGGGGACGGGCAGGTCTGGTTCCTCAGTAGAGAAAAAGGTTGAAGGGAGAAGCTGTCCCACACTGGGATGGACAAGGGACCGGCACAGACCCACTTCCCGGCTCCGGAGCCGGGTCTGAGCGAGCCGCCGTGAGGAGAGCTTGCTGCTGCCACGCCGGGCTCTGGGCAGGGAAGTGCAGCAATAAGCTAAGTTGGCTAATCAGGATTCACACTAATAGGGAGAGAAAATTACCCAGATCTACCACAGAGACAGCTGAGCAGGGAATGAATAACCGCAGCAGAGTGCTGCCTTTGCTGGCGCTCTCCCGGCCAGCAGATGAATTAAACCCAAGGTGGTGTGACTCATGCACGCGGCGCAGAGCTGTGTTGCAGAGGCATGGGCATCACCTCGGGAAATTACTCGCGAGCAGGCTGGGATGTGCCCAAACCAGTGGCCCCCAGCAGCCCGGTGTACTCCTGACTGGTGGGAGCTCTGCCCTTCCTCCTGCGAAGGAAGAGGAGCCTGACCGCCGGCGGCAAAGGGACCGGTGACTGTGGGGGGGATGCAGCATCCCCCCCGGGCAGCCTGTCCGTACGGCATGAGCTGCGGTGGGTGCTGAGCCGAGGCCATGGGCTCACAGCTGGGTGCTGGTGAGGGGCACGGTGCTGCCCAGGCAGAGCATTAGCGGGGGCTGAGATTTTGAGTGCCCTGAGCAGGCGGCTGAGCTTGTTCTCGAGCCAGGGTCAGCATCCCGGAAAGTCCTCCCCGATGGATTTCTGCGTGCAGCCAGCCCTGGTACCAGGCAGGGCTCATGCCCTGGGACCTGGAGGCATCTTGCTAAGAAAATGCGGGCAGAAGGAGGCTCTAGAGTTTGAGGACTCGGACAAAACCCGCTTCCTTTATTCCCGTGACATCGTAACGCTGCCTTTACCAGGGCCCAGCTGTAAAGCCAGGAGAGGAAAGCCCGGAGTTGCATCTGCCATGCATCTCACCCAGGGGGACAGGGACCTGGTGGCTCGGGGTATGGGGTGGGAGTGCGTGCAGCCCGGCTACTCGGCAGGACGAGACCTCATCCCTCCCCTGGGCTCCATCCTTTCCTGGAGCCCTTTCCGGCTGCATCCCCCCAGGGCAGGGCTCCATCCTCAGGGAGTATTTTGGGGGTCAGGGTGTTGGGGGGGACTTTTTGTGATTTAAGCCTTGTTGTGGTATTTGTTCGGAGGGTGGGAAGTGTGTCAGGTGACTCAGTGGTTGCCATGGCGACGAGCATCGGTTAATGAACAGAGGGAGTAAAGAAGCCAAAATAAATGTCAGAGCGTGAAATAGATGCGGTGGAGCCGGGAGGCAGCGGGGCTGTCCCCCTGCCTGCCCTGTCCCCGGGGGTGGGGGGGGCCAATGGTGCTGCCCTGCCTGTCCCTGCATGTGTTGGGGCTCCCTTTGCCCCAGGGGGGGCGCAGATTTTGCTAAACCACCTGCAAGGTGCAGGGTGAGCCGCAGTGTCGGAGCAGTTCCCAAGCGTTAGCGATGCCACCGGGCTTTCTCCCTCCGGCCGCTCGCCGGGGCTGCTCCACGCTCCCTCCGCAGCAGGAGGCAGTTGGTGTTGGGTCCTGCCAAAGGCTCTGCCCCTGCCCTGAGAAAGTCACTTGATTTTATTATTTTTAAAACTTTTTGGTTTGTTTGTGTGGGGTTTTTTTTCCCCATCTGTTGTTGCAAAGGAGGCGTTAGGGTGGGACAGGCAGGGCTGAGGGATGCAGAGAGGCTATAGATCCTGATGTTTGCATCCGAACAGGGCATCCCCTGCACTTGTCCCTCATGGTCACAGGTTTACCTTATGCATGGGGTATGCCAGAATCGAGGCCCCCGGGGGTCCTGGCTCCTCCGGCCGCTGCTCAGGGCAGGGGGTGCTCACCCCCCCCAGCCCAGCGCTGGTTCTGATGGGGGCTCCGCAGCACAGGGAGCCTCGGAGAACTTCAGAGAGATCAAGCCCAGGAAGATTAGTGTTCTTGTTTGCACGCTATGCTGATGGGCTCGAACCCTCGAACCCACGTGGCACCAAAGGAAAGTTTCTCTCGCTAATGAGATGATGAACACTGGCTCTGCGTCCCTGCCCGGGAGATTGCTGCGGGGGGTGATGTTCCTGCGCTGCCCGGGAATTGGTGCTTGTGGAGAAGCTCTTGCAAAACCCTGCAACGCTGCATGGGCGTCCCTGGCTGACAGCAGCTTTGCAGCCATTAAAAGTTGGAGAGGGCAGATCTGTCTCACCAACAGCTCTGGGGTGCCTGGGGCAGAGCCCTGCTGGCAGGTACGGGGAGAAGGTGGGTGGAAACCCAAAAGCTGAGAGGAGGAGGAGAAGAAGGAGCGCTGTGCAGTGCAGCTGCCATCCTCCCTGTGCCCAGTGCCGCCTCATCCCAGTTCGTGGCACCCGTTCTCAGCCTCCCCTTCTCCCGCAGTTCCCAAAGTAACGGGAGCAGGCGGTTCTCCCTCAGATGCCGTGTCTCCCTCTTGGATGACAGCTTGCCACCTCCAGAGCTTCATCTCCAGGCTTTAATTGATGCCTGTCACGATGCTCGGCTCCCCCGAGCCCGTAGCCGGAGCGCAGACTGACAGCGTGCCGCTGTGCGGGACTCCGTGCGGGTTGGCTTCTCTCACCTTCACCCCTGTCCCCTGGTGACACATCTTTTATGGTCCCATGGGAGAGGGGACAGAGCCAGTGTGACCTGACTGTGTCCTCCAGCACTGGTGTCATGAGGGGGCTGCCCTTCGTGTAGGAAGACACCGCAGGAATTCCTCCCACCTCACCTTGCCCCTTGCCACTCCAGAGAAGTCGCACTCTGTGCCTCAGTTTCTCCGTTTATCACATCAAGGACAGCATTTGTTGGCACTGCAGAGGAAGCATCGCGCATACTCTTGCGTTAGCGTTTGCTGCGTGCTTTGGAGAAGATGTCTCTCTGAGTCCTGCAGACGCTGCTGCCACCCCGGGCTGAGGAGCTGTGCTCCTTTCCGGTGCTGTGGCACGAGTCCGGCTCTGAGCCGTCCCCAGCAGGCAGCGAGTGCGGCGCTCGGTGCCTTGGCAGGCTGCTCCCAAGCACCACCTCCAAAGTGTAACCGAGTCCCCAGTACATCACCTACCTGAGCCTGACTCGTCCTTGGCTTTTTCCTCTCATGGCACAATCGCACGGCTTTGGCACGGGAGAGAGCTGAGCCCAAAAGCGCAGCGAGGAGAAGGCCAAAGCAAACAGGCAAGCGTTTAACGGCAAAATGCGTTTGTTTTGCTTCAGAGGTAGGAGTGGTGGGGGGAAAAAAAAAAAAAAGCCACACAAAAAGAGCCTTTTTTCCCAAATGCTAAGTGGGAGGCCAGCAGATGCCAGAGCATCTGCCTCCTTCCCCAGGCCTTCCAGGCGGTGTTGTCGATGGGGCTGCTCTCGCCCCCACTCCCAAGTCATGCTGTGGGGACCCACGACATGTGCCGAGCTCCCGGGGGGACCGTGCCGTGTGGCGGGTGGTGGTCCTGCTGTGCCGAGCTCGGCGGGGATGCCCACCTGTGGCACTGGGTGCTTATCCACAGTCATGCGTGGGTGCGTGCCCGTGTGCGTGCTGTGGGGGACACGTGAAAGCAAGGCTGGAAATGGGGTATGGCCAGGTCCTCAAAGTGACTCTCTGCCCCAGCTGCCTGTGTCCCAGGCAGGAAGCAGGGCTGAGAAGTGGCAGGAAAGGGTAGGCAGGCTAGAAACTTTTTGTAGTCATTTAAATGAACTCATCTGTGCCTCCAAAGATATCGCATCTCGGAAGCTAAGCTGGGGCCCAGATGTTACTTTAGGAAATGTGCTGAGGATCCTCATCTGCGTGGCAGCCTGTGCCCTGCCTTTGTGGCAGTAAATCAAAGCCTTCATACAGCCGAGGGGCCGGGGCAGAGGAGCCAAACTGGGAGGACCAGGCTGGTGTCTCTGGGCCGAGCAGCCCCGAGCGGGG